ATATTTATAATCAAAAGAGACTCATGATGAAATCCTGTAACCAATCAGATCCCTACAAACCAACACTTGAATATCGATGAGATACTCACTAGCGACTTGCCCTATTCAGGTACGTAGTTACCTGGGGTTCTAGTGAGAAGTCATGACCAGTAGGGTGCAGCAGATCTAAAGTGAGGACAAATACTCACTGAAGACGGTGGCTGGGGGTCGTGCTATGTCGTGAATTGGCAGAAGTTAGAATTCATGGGCTGGCCATTGAATCGGGTCCCAGTGGCTTAATGGTCAACGATCTGGCTAGCCTTGTAACCGAGAGGTCCTGGGTTCAAACCCTGTAGGTGGGTGCGTGCCGATGAAGAGCGCCAAAAACAGGCTGGCGAAACAGTGTCCAGTACTCCCAGGTTTTCCAATGGTTCTCTAACCAATGACAGCTGATGATGAAATCCTGTAACCAATCAAATCCCTACAAACGAACACTTAAGCTCTCTTAATATATTTAGCTGATTCACGAAAGTGTATAACTCTAAATCTACGCTCAGCTTCCTCACCCTTTAATGCCTTTAAAGACCTTTATTACCATTGAATTTCAGGTGCTGGGGATCATCAAAATCAATAGAATGACCAACGGTCCATGTATTCGTTAGCGTGCTACTTCAAAACTATCTTAAAGGAGTTCAGTTCTGTAGAATCAAGCACGTTTGGAGTAAAACGTCGTTGTCACTATGATACCCACACGTCGTCATGCTGCAATCCTCATGTAGACGTTAGTACACATATGAAAGAATCATTAGTTTTGAAAATCCCACCGGAACGACCTATTTACAATACGGATAATTATTTAAACATTTCAACTAAATTTGTAGTTATTATCCTTTTTCCCTAAAATCCTGTATATCATTGTTCCAACGATTGAATGTCACCTGTTGACTTGATCTTTATGATTTTTCTGTGTTCCTGGTTCATCCCTAATTATTTTAATGCTTCTCTTTGTACTTGTGTGATGGGTGTCGCCTTACGATTGTGATTTTGCCTGAATGAATTCAAAGTAATGCTGTGTGCATTTTGATCTAGGAGTGTTAGCGTAAAGTATTCGTTTCTTACCAATAGCAGTATGATCCCACAATGTCGGGGATATTCTTGATATGAAATGACTCAATGCAAATACCAGAGATATGGAAGATATTATTACCACCAGTCAGTCAAATCAGAGGAGGATTATAAACAATCTTAAAATTCTATTTCAATTCAAGCACATCACAACATTCTAACAATTTACTTATTATGACTATAAAAACACTCCGCTCATTTCCCGTCTGATTGTATTTAATTGATAACACTTATATTATTATTTCCAAATGTACATTATCTTATATTAATTTTTATTCAATATCTAATCAATTTCACTCACGTATACAAATGAAGTAAAAAGTTGTGTTAGTTACTTGATATAATTATGAGCAACAGTTTGTGCTCGAAACGTGGTCATCAGTTAATATTACTGTACAACACTGTGTGATTTATCAAAATAAACTCTTATCCATAATGGAGCTATCGAGGATATTCTATTTGATTCTCACCCAAGTACTTCTTATATTTGACTAATTTTGTTGGACATTACTTATTGTTTTTTCCCCAGTGGAACATAGGGTTTCAAGCTAGTGGCTTGAAGTTTCTGTGCGTCGGTGGTATAGCAGTTAGGACGCTCCCCGGCCATGCACATGGTCCGGGGTTCGATCCCCGGCCGACGCACTCCTTTATCTCGCTAAACCAGAAGTAATGCTGATAAAGAGGAAAGGTTGGGCAAGAGGCTAGCAACCCCACCCTGTAAAATAAAGACTGCTACAGAAACTTCAAGCCACCAGCTTGAAGCCATAAACTTATTTTGTACTTGAGTAGATTCTTCGACCGTATAGCTGGGAACAAAATTAACTGGGAACAAATGCGGACGAGAACCGGTGTTTTCAATGTGTCATGGGGCCCTACGATACAGAATTACCACCAACTAGTTAAATGGAGGACATTAGGAGAGAATCGGCTGGGAGTAGGAGCCGTAATATATGCCTGGTTGGTAGGCATTCTACCACGGAAACATCAACAATTAAAACTAGGTCCTCAGCGGGGAAACGAACCCGGGTTTTCCACGTGCCACAAGGAGATACTCAGCGCCAGTGCGTCAGTAGTTCAGCGGTAGAATTCTCGCCAACTATTCGCGCAGTCAATGGTTCAGACTGTGACCGAAGAACACCTGAACCTCGGTTAGCGAGTAGTAAGCCCGATAAAGAACGGAGGTCAGGTGTGAGGCTAGCAACCTCACACCATTAGAAAATAACACCACTATCACTGAAACTTAAAAGATTGGAGCCCTATTTTCAACTCGGAACGCAAAAGAGTCAAATAATAATATTCAATAATTGAAAAAACTCTCTTCTCTTAACATATTTAGCTAAGCCATAAAGGTGTATAACTCCAAATGTGAGTTCAGCTTCCTCACCCCTTAATACCTTTATAGACTGGCATCGGTGAGGTAATTTTGACTACCTGACGTGCTATTATTTTTAAACAGTACAAGAGATTTTAACGCATATCATTAAAGTTTTGCAGTCGCCGGCACATCTTCGGACTGGACGTTAGTCAAGGAAGTTTTGGTTAGCTATACAGTAGAGCGCAAAGATTAGTTTCCATGCGACGAACAACAGCGAACCAGTTTTGTTCACTGCAGTACTCAGCACACCACAGCAATACGACTGACAGAGGAACAGGGAAGATGTTTTCGAAAATTTTTGTGAAGAAGGAGAAAATGGAACCCTCGGATGTACCTCCAGAAACACACCATGTCCCCTTAGATGCATTGCCATATCATAAATCACCTTTGAGTAAGGGATCACTTAAGGACTAACTCAACGGTAGTATGAGTTAAGGAAGCAAGGGGAATTGGAGATCCATAAGTTTCAGGCTAGATAGAAAGCAGAAATCCAGCGCGGTTAGAGAAGAGAAAACTGGGCTTGCTACGACTAAACAATAATAGTCATGGAGTTTTTTCCGATCAGTATAGCCACCTAACGGTGATTTGTTGGGATGATTTTGAACTTTTGATGTGTTATAAATGTTCAAAAGTAGCACAGATTTGAACCATCTTTTTACTACTGGCGAGAGAGTTCCTAACTGTGAATCACTCGAGGATGTTCGCTTACCTAAACGGAAGAACGCGGCGATTATTTTCTTTACATTCAGATCAGAATATGTCAGGTTTGACCGCTACAATAAACACCGGAACAGGGTGTTTGATAATAACAATGACGAAACAGATATGCATTGATGGAGAGGAAGAAAATTGTTCGCAAAAAAAACGTTCATCAGATGTATCATATATCTATTATTTTTATCATACGTAATCCATAGAAATTTACAATTTAGGTGTATGTATAACTCGAGAGACACATACAGAAAGCGATTCAGTGGTGTAATGGTGTACTCTTCACATAGAGTATGTAACACAACTCACATGTGTACTCAAGCGTGCACACAAAAACTCATACATACATACGCGCACCAAACATCGAATTAAAATTTAAAATAAACAAATAGACTTCCCCCATTTTCTCTTTTCTAATACAGAAATAAAACATGCCTATCAATTTATTACAATATGAAGAATATATCTTCAGGAAAAAAAAATACAGCCTGCCACTGATGTTAAGCAGTGAAGGAAAAGAAAAAAAAGACACTTTCGACTGTGATAATTTACATCTTAAGAAATAAAAATTAGTTCAGATTACTACACAAATACAGAGCATCTCATCGAGAGCAGGGCAAGTTAACTTGGAAGGGAACAGTATTAATAATAATAATAATAATAATAGTAATAATAATAGATTCTTAATTTGTACAACGAAATAAGTCGAAAACAAAAGTAAATACGAAAGATTGGTCGGATAAAATTGAAATATACAATACACATTACATATTACTAAAAACAATTTAAGTAGTTAGTAGTCAATTTCAAAAATAAACTCGTCAAATCATAAGTTTTTAAAAAAAGGCAATATAGATGGGATAAAACCTATATTGTATAAAAAGAAAACAAAGTATATATATTATACACACGGATTATCTCTCTCTCTGAGAAAAAGAGAATAAAGCTACAACACCGATCTCTTGACATAAAAAAGTAGCGTTATTACTACTACTACTACTACTACTACTACTATAATAATAATAATAATAATAATAATAATAATAATAATAATTATAATTATAATTATAATTATAATTATAATAATAGTAATGATAATAAAAGTGTTGGGCGTTAGTTAGTTAGTTTTCCGGGCTTAGGAAATCAAAAATACATAGAGGGGGAAAAGAAATGATGAAGAGAATAAACATAACATCTTGAGTATGCATGTATTGTTCTAATAAATAAAAAGGAAATCAATTGAGAAAAAAAGTAGAAGAGGAGGAGAAATATCTCATTGTGTTTGGAAAATCTCTGGAGTTAAAATAAAACTACTCAATATAGATATATATATACACATAATTCGCTAAGTGGGTGAAAGTACTATATATATATATATATATTTACAAAGTATAATAATATTACGAGTAATCATATTTGAGATAAATAAAGTATTGAAGAAATAAAAATACACATACTACTAACTAATCTTCTTATCCTGTATAATTGGAAGTTAGGTGGTTAAAATTAGTTCACGTAAATGAGTGAGTATATAGATATGTAGAATAGACATATTCACTATTCTCCTTATATTGTTACAATGTAGAGCAGTATTATTATATTAATGGTAGATCATAGAAGTTTAATCACCCCCTTTACATACATATTTATTATCACATTGACAAGTGAAAACAAAATAACTGAGCCGGCACTGAGCTGGATACATCCATCATAATATTATAACGGCGATTTTTTTGTATGAAGGCAGAAAAGGTTAATTTTGAGAATTTTTAAAAAAAAATCCATACACACATTAAACTCTATATTGGTTTTAGGCACATCGACCTTTTAGTTCAGTTTCCAACTGAAGTAGACGTGTTTTTAACGCTTTATACTGACAGTATTGTGGACGCATACGTAATCGATCAGCACGTTCTACCTTTTGACCTATAAATGTGTAATGAAACAAACAATAAACAAAATGGGAAAAGATTGAATATTGACCTTATGATTGTTGAAAAACTATATATATATATTAACTTCTGCATTAGATATATATCACACATAAGAAACAGTATAAATCTGTAACAACAGAAGACAAGGGTCGGCAACAGATCGTTTTATAACGGAAATCAGCACGTATTTATAAATATTTCATGTACATTATTATAGCCTATTCAAGCAGACAAACACAGTCTTCCGATTGGTTGTTTCTTGCTCAAGGTGACCGGTTTCTCGGAAGGTTAAGTCATATAACTGCGAATCATATTTGCCCACGTTAAGTCTGCTGTGATTGGTTGTTGAATCAGCCTTGTTCACATTTTCTCACGGCCAATATTAGTGACCTAGACATTGACGTAAATTAATGTCTACCAATTGGCTAGCAGCCTGCTCTCACCACAAATTTACTGGATGATGTTTGGAACAATTTATGACTCATGGTCATTTCAGTTATAAGACTCTGGCGTAGACGTGATATCCGGCTATCGACCATAGGACATGCGTACTGCTCAGCAATCCGCTTAGTCATGCTTTAATGTGACACCTACCATTGAGAGTGGAAGAAATAAAAAGCTTGTCTAGCTAGCTCTCTTTAATCATAGGTGCCTGTGTTCTATCTGCCGTGTGTTAGGTGCCGTGGTATAGGATGAGCAGTTTTCAGGTTAGACCTCAGTCGAGTAATAGTTAAGGACGGGAAATCAATCGACGAGGGTGTGAAGTTATATCGACTGAGATGGTTATAACATGTGTTATGCATGCACGCCTAGCCATCGCCTTTCTCAACGGGTAATGTTAGTTGACATAGGGTGAGGTTCGAAAAGAGCCATTGGTGGTCAAACCGGAACATGGCCTGATCAGTCAATGAAATTCACAAAAGTTAGTTTAGGCCAGACACGAAGCGAAGTGAAGATTGGTTTCTTGGCTGGGGTCCTCGGGACGGTAAAAACCAATGAATGTTGGAGTCAATCTTTGATATGGCTCAAAATCGTTCTCAATGGCTGACTCAGATGCCGCCACTCCTTGTGACCTATAATACCCAATGAAACTCTGCTGTTCTGTTACTATTCTTTTTGCCTTATATCTCAATTTACTGCCTCTATTTTGCATTTCTTTTTACTTTCTTCTCTTTCTTTGTGTGCCACATGGAGTGTGGAGACTCGAACTGCTGCACATCGGTGCAAAGTTCTGTGTGTTGAAACCAGTCAGTCAGTTATAAGAACACAAATTCAAGACTTCAGTATCAAAGTTTTGTTTATTATTTCCCATTTAAATATTATGGATTTGTAGCTCGCTAGGATGGGATGATTTAGATTCCGGTTATGTGTTCTTTGAGTTGGTTGACTGAACTGCGAAGCTTTCGTTGCCCCGCCCCGCCCCCCCTCACTTCTACACAAAATCTTTAGCACTGAAGATGTTGTCTAGAAAGATGACGAAAGCTTCGAAATTAAATCAACCAGCTCAAAGAACACAGCTCACTTGAAAATTCCTTCCAGTTGGTCGATAACAGAAGCTTTATTCATCGAATCAACTGAAAATACGTATTACTTGGCAATGATTCAATACTTGTCCACCCGAACATTTGGGAAATCAAGTTAGAAACGTTGTTTAGTAAGTAATACTGCTTCATTGTATGATATATCCAATATGGATTAAAAGTTTATTTTTATCAGTCTCTACACATTGCTATACTTCAGTAGAAACTAAATAACCAACCTTTAACCAATAAACAAATGTATGATTCATTAGTATTTGCGAAACAAGTGTGCTGTACTTTCATCAAGGATGGAGTGAAACTGGCTCAACGAGGAACTTCCTCTCATTATACAGGTTTAGAACACATTAAAAAAAGGAGAAGAAGTAGGAGACTCAGTAATCTAGGAGGTGAAGATGTCAAAATCAGCCAGGAATACTAGAGAAGGTAAGACATGTATGCATTCATTAGTCAGAAACCAGTGTGAAGATCTAAAGTCTTCATATGGTTCGGACACCTGACACGTGCGTCACAGAAGACACTTCTACACAGACCACTGCAAACTGTCATCACCACCCACCTTCACTCGATACGCAAGACTGGGTGGATAGATAGATACACCGATCAGAAAGGATAAACAGCAAACAACTCTAGTAGTCAGTGGACCATATATACGCTGACAAAACACACACGCACACACACCGGGGGCTGGAGTGAAACCCGATTGAATAACTATCAGTTAGGCATCTGAGAATGCCACAGCAACCAACGTAAGAAAATGAAAGCTTGTAGGCAGCTGTGAAGCCAGAAAAAAAGAGAGAACAGAGTGTCATACAGATTAGTGGGTATTGCTAATCGTTTTCTTAGTCAACTCATCGGTGCTTTGGAAACTTCTCAACCACTAAGGTAAAGTACTGCTAAGGTTGAGGTTAAGCTTCTTCTTACTATTGGGGCATGTTGTATGTGTCACGCTTAAATCAAACAGATACTTATCTAGTATATCTTGTATAAGCTAATTGAATCCCGTGTCACATACTCCGCTTTTAATTTCGTTCATGCCTACTCTGTGTATAATTCATCAATTGACAGAATTCTATCACAACATGCAAATAATCCACTTCAAATAAACGTTTATTTTTATGATGAATCTTTTTCTCTCTCTCTCTCTCTCATCTCATTCACAATGTAGGTGCACAGTACAGTGTAATTTTATATGAGAACAGGGATTCGCTACTTAATTCTTTATTACAAATCCTTATTTTAGTAACATACTGTAACGGTAGAAGACGAGAAAAACGGTAAGGGGATGTTTTATTTGCAATCTGGTATCTCTGTATAACCAAATTAAGTACACCTAATTTTCAACGCGCCGTTTGCACAGATCTTCCGTGTTAGACTACTACTTCTCGCTTTCATTTTGTGTTTCTTTGTGTTGGTTTCACGTCTCCCAAGTTTCTCTGCAACGCTGTATCATTTTCTTTCTCTGATATCAAATCTATCTCCTTGCTAGTGAATGTTTTTATGCCGATGAACGTTTCTCTATATACTATTGATAAATTTTATCAGTAGCAGCACACGGCGCAATACTTCCCGATAATTTTCATGTACTGAATTCGGAACTCTAAACAAACAATACCATTCAGTTGCAATTAGTGCCACATTCATGTCCACCTTTCGATCATCAGATTTAGATTTTTGGACTAAATTAATGTTTGATTCTTGTCACCAATCAACATGAGTTAGACACGTTATTAAAAACCAGCAAGGGAGCACTGAACAGCTGTCTCGATCTGTTTTTGGACTCCTCAGTAGTGAGAACCCAAGACCTCACCGAGGACCGAACCGCGGACTTCCAGGTTACATAATCAATTTCGCTAACCATTTAGACACTTGAGCTGGGATTCAATCACCTCTGAATTCCAGCACCTTCGTTGAGCATCCACTTCACACCCTGACATGGCAGATCACACATGGTCACGGCTTCTCACTTAAGCCTCAGAAGAAATCCATCCAGTAGTTATCATTCAGCTGGCGAATGACATTTAGATAATACAATTTGTAAAGACTTCCGCATTAATTCCAGTTGTTAGATTTTCGTCACAAATCAACATCTGTGACAAAGTGGGAATTCGGAAAGGGGGTCATTGAATTTCGAATAGCTCACTTACTCATATCATTCCCAACCAGTAGAGCACAGCATTATGTAAAAATATACTTGCTTTCTTGATAGGCATTTATAGTGTCAAGCAAACCACCTATTGTGATTTGAATAAATCCAGCAGTTTCCAGGCGAAACTATGACGAAAAACCAACCTCGAAATGTGTAAATTACAAACTTCGACCTGCTACATAGATCGAAGATCCGATTGAATGTACTACCGATTCGCTTAAGTATCTAGACAGAATTCAGGGTGATTTCAACTGAAGAGTTCAACTTTAAATGAGCGAAACAGTCGTACGGTATCTTGGGGTCACTTCCAACTGCCTACATCAAACACTACTACTACTACTAATACTATTTGATGTGAGTGGTGTTCAACTACTCATATCGATCAACCAATCAATCAGTAGAAGTATATCGAATCATGTAAAAAGTTCACACCATGACATTTTAAAATGTGTAAGGTACAATACATTAGTGCTTACACACACACACACATCCATGTCATGGTAGTTTCATTTAAATTAAGCAATAACTAAAAAGGAGTATAAAGATATTCATAACTGTAAATCATCTTACCAGTAGTTTGAGTGAATTCATGTTCAAAATCTTTTAAAGTTTTCTGCAATTGACGTTTTGATTCACGTAGATTCCGTAATGCTGCCTTTAAATCACTAGTTGACCAACTGGATAAATCTGATGACGGCATAGTTTGTGATGATCTAAATAAAAATAACAATTATGAAGATACATCAAAGATGGTAATATGATTGCATAAAAATTTAAATGTTAAATAACCAATCCAATGAGAATTAGTTTCTTCAAGTTCAGCCGACATATCTTGATAGTTAGGAGTCATCACTTCCAGTCTCTATTCACAGTAACTTAAAGGAAACTATAAAAACAGTGGTTGTTTTGAAGAGTTTCATGCAATTAGCTCTCTGGATATACTTGTAGTTCAACAGAAACATATCTTTATTTCTTTTTCGATTCTGAAAATGGTTCATATAATACGTTTGTAATCAATTCAGACATACAAATTGTTCGAGACAACATTTACACGACTTCCATCACATCACAGAATACATCCTCGTAAAAAAAATTACCACAGATACATATGATTCATTATCATCATTAATAGTGCAACTGCAAGACATCTCGTCGATAATGCGATCATGAGGTGAACATCATGAAGTCTTTTCAAATTACCGATAGACTACCAAATTCGTCTTATGTTTGCCGAAGCAATCGCTAAAACTGCCTGAAATTCGATTTATATGTTCTGAAGGTAGCAGTTATCAGTTTTTCCTTGACTGACCGTCTGTCTGTCTGTTTTCGACATAGAACTTTGCACATTTGTGCGCCAGTTCAAGTCACCACACACCCTCCATGTAGCACACAAAGCAAGAGAAGAAAGTAGAAGAAGTGCATAATAGAGACAGTAAACAGGAATATGAGACAAGAGGAGGAGTAATAACGAAGAACAATAGAGTTTCATTGGAAATCATAAGTCACAAGGAATGGATGCATTTGCGCTAGTCATTGAGAACGATGAGTTTGAGCCATATCACCAATTGTTTCCAACCATTGGTTTTTACCGTCCTAAGGACCCCAGACTGGAAGTCTACACCTTCCTACGTGGCTTAGACTAACTGTTGTGGATTTCATTGACTGGTGCCAAGTTTTTGTTTGACCTCCGCTAGCTTTTTTCCAGCCTGACCCTACATCCGCTAACATTGCTCGTCGAGGAAGGCGATGACCAGGCATACGTAACACATGTCCTAACCATCTCAGTCTTTGTAACTTCACTCTCTCTCTCTATTTCATTCGATTACGTAATCTTTGACTTTAACCTCTTACCTCCTTTTCATATAGTGTAGCTGTGCTTGTCTCTTGTTTCCATGACCTGAATTGAATTCATCACACTGTTACTTACTTACTTTGCTTCGGCTATCTCCTACGGGAGGGTGAGCCGTCTTCATGAACCATGAAGTTTCATGGGAATTGGGTACGAGTGATGTCCCCAGCATCGCTCACTTCTCACTTCTACTTCTTACTTCTACTACTCACTTCTATTAGTTACTCATCATCTTATTCTCCTCTCGTCTTCATCAAACGTAACTCTCTCTTGAAGTTGTATCCAAGCTTTAATTTTTGTTTAAACATGAAGATTCTGAAACTTGTTAATTAAATTTACAGTCTCCTGTCAACTGACATCACGTAACATTTACAAGGGTATTAAAACTGTTCTGTACTTGAATCTGATAATTTCTTCAGGTTGTAACACAGCTGACAAAAAACCAACGAAATAAACGATGGAACCATCTGCAGGCACTGTTGTACATGCCTTATATTCATAAACCTAATACACAATACATATCAATGCTTCCTTAGTATCATTGAATTATTATACTCAAAATAATAATTCCATAGATTTTAAGTAATACACAAATGTAAGGTAGAAAGCCAGTGTTCAGTGTGAAATCATTACAGTATCGCAAAGTAAGTAGCTAATCTATACACATCCCATTTCGCATCAGATCAATAGACAACCGTGGGTCCACATTGTTTAATTTCAACGAGTAAACCAGTTTCGTGACCAGTAGGGTGCAGCAGGTCTAAAGTGAGGACAAATAATCGCCGAAGACGTTGGCTGAGGGTCGTGCTATGTCGTGAATTGGCAGAAGTTAGGATTCATGGGCTGGTCTTTGGATCGGGTCCCGATGGCTCAATGGTTTACGAGCTCGCCTTGTAACCAGAAGCTCCTGGGTTCGAACCCCGGTGAGTGCACACTGCTGAAGAGTCCCAAGCACTAGGACGAAACAGCTGTCCAGTACTCCCAGGTTTTCCAATGGTTCTCTAACTGATGTCATCTCATGATGAAATCCTGTAATAAACCAGTGTATTGTATTTACAGACTATAAGATCTGAAGGTCAGAGAATTCAAGTTTTCTCAATGATTGATTCATACAATCTATTTAAAAGTATCTACATGTAAGAAAATTTCAATATGACTAGTAGGACGTCGCAACATCAACTCGTTGATACTGTTGTGTACAGACACTTGCAATTGACAATCATCATCATGTCGGACTCTGAGCAACCCTCCTTATGAAGAACTCTTCCCTCATACCTCATCAGCGAAGACTAGAAGCAATTATAAAAGGGTCAGGCTGGAAAAGAGCTAGCGGTGGTCGAACCAAAACATGGCCTCACCAGTCAATGAAATCCACAACAGTTAGTTTAAGCCAGCCACATAGGAAGGTGCAGACTTCCAGGCTGGGGTCCTCGGGACAGTAAAAACCAATGGTTGGAAACAATTGGTGATATGGCTCAAACTCATCGTTCTCAATGACTAGCGCAGATGCATCCACTCCTTGTGACTTATGATTTCCAATGAAACTCTATTGTTCTTCGTTATTACTCCTCCTCTTGTCTCATATTCCTGTTTACTGTCTCTATTGTGCACTTCTTCTACTTTCTTCTCTTGCTTTGTGTGCTACATGGAGGGTGTGTGGCGACTTGAACTGGCGCACAAATGTTCAAAGTTCTATGTCGAAAACAGACAGACAGATAGAAGACTTTATGCTCGGAAGACTATGTATAAAAACTCTACGATACCTTATTTAGCCTGCATTTGCCGACAAACCATCCAGTTCAGAGAACAAAACTACTTAATTTCAATTTTACACTCATATTCTTACTGATATGATTATCAATGTAAGTGACCTGTTAACTATTCCCTCACCACCTTACCATATAATCAGATGCAATATTTTACTATATTGTATCAAATGTATTGTGTGGAACAAAGCCATTATTATTAATGTTGGTAACGATAATAATAATAACAATACCATTGCTTAACTGGAACTTACTCAACATATTTGTCGATTGTTGTTGTTGCTGTCGTACTACTTGGCATAGAATTGATGGCATTATCAGAATTCGTAAGTATACGACGTCGATTTCTCACATTAGCAATAGAAACATTACTATTATTCAGTCTCAATAAATCAGTATTACTGTTGACTTGATTAATTCGTGGATTCGATAATGAAGATAATGATAATGGTGGGGAATCATAGGGTACTACAGCTGGTGTGGAACCGGTGAAATTTTCCTGATGATGATGATGATGGTGATGATAATGATTATGAATAGGTGAAGAGTATTCATTTGTATTAGTACTTGAGCGTCTAGTTGGACCACCATATGCTGCTGGCACTCCTCCGGATGAAGAAAATCCATTCTCCGGTTGAATTCGTGGATACATCTCATTGGGAAGCTTATTCTGTGAACTGGAAGTAACAGTAGTTGTGTAATAATCATCATCTCCACTAGCTTGATTTCGTCTGCTTAAACCAATTGTGCCAACTAGACAAATAAAAAGAAAAATATAGGTATTGATTAGCAGAAAAGGGGAAAAATACAATACTCTCGAAAAGATGTATGCCCCACTCCTCTGTAGCAGACCGATTTAGGTAATTATTCTATGTGTTATTTACACGATTATATCAGCAGAGAGGCAACAATACTCTCGTCAATAACTAAACAGATACATTACAAGAATACAGTTTTATTATTTTATTATCACTCATTCTCCTCTTTCCAAGTGGAATATAGTGCCTCCGTTATGATCGATTCTTCAGCATTAAGTTCACTCCCCCCCCCCGAAGTTCCCACTTCTTCTCCCTGTCACTCTCAGATGCCCAACTCGTGACTTACCATCCATCTTCTACTGGAGGACCTGACGTGTGGGGGCAAATGCAGGTCTCCACAGTTGGTATCCAATCTAACTTCATTTCCAGCCGCCTACTCATGGCACCTGCTGAACTAAGTTCGGTATACTGGGCCTAAACTAAGCGCTACCACAACCATAAACAGCATTCGCGTCTAGCTGTGCAGTTCAAATAGACGATGTAGGGAGGCTTCTCAGGCTTTATGTGAACTACTGGGGTCCGGGATACCCAGATCACTTAAAATTTGGAGAAGACTGCTGGAATAGGTTGATTTGTGACTCACGATTACAGGGTGGCCGTGGATGTTTCGGTAACCCCAACACGGATTGCTGCAAGGGAATTCGGTATGAAAGTCAGTCAAAAACAATGTTCATGAAAGTTGGAATTGGATTGGCAACCGGGATCTTGTGTCTATGAGGCAGAATGAGCTATCTCCAGTATGCAAGAGTCTCTGGTTAGATGCTCCTGTTCTGTGGCGCAATAGGGAAGCAAATGAGTTGTTCTGATTTGTCAGAAGCAACGTTCCAGTGAGAGAGCCTAACGAGTAGTAGGCCAGAAGATTTAAATAACGAAATCAAACAAATGAGGTAAATATTACTGGTGAATAACTCCTCACCGGAATTTATTTAGAAATATATGAAGAACCCTAGAAAAACTAAGATTAGCAAATAAAAATGACGAAAATAATATAGAATTCAAAGCCTCACTAGCACTGCTGTATAGAGAAGGGACGTCAGAGTCCTCACGTAGGATTCTAAATGAGACTGGAATTAGTCAGGGTGGCATTCAAACTAACCAACTCTCGCAGAGACAAACGTTGTCGACTTAAGGACCCAATTAAGAAAAGTAATACAATTTACCAAATACCATTCAATTAATCACCATGACGTCAATTACATAGGTCGAACTAGTACATAAGGGTCAACGAGATTATCTGAACATAAAAATTTAGCTGGATTTAGAATGATGATTGACCCTGTTAAGTTAGATAACCTAGAAAAAACATAATCCAGCCATTGCACTGCATTCACTTGCATGTAATCACCACACAGTAGGATGAGTGGGACAGGATGAGAGTATTAAATAGTAATATAGTTAGATGGAGAGAGAGAGAGAGGTGAATCACTGAAGCTTAGTGTATCGATTAAACACTCCACACATGCAATCGGACTGACGCAACGCCGATACCGGAGATATGGAAAATGGTAACAAACAACAAAGGAGTTGGAGAGACTGAATAGAAATATATATATATATATGCGACTAAAATTGATATGACTATAAGTGGCAGTAATTTATGCTCGTAACGTCAACCAATTGTAAATACCGCATCAATCACTGTATGATTATTAAAATAAACTTATCTAATATGGAATAAGTGCGTCGGTGGCACAGCGGTTAAGACGCTCGCCGACCATGCACATGGTCCAGGGTTTGATCCCCAGCCGACGTACTCCTTTACGTCGCTAAGCCGGAAATAAAGCTGGTAAGAAGGAAAGGTTGGACATGACGCTAGCAAACCCATCCTGTAAAAATAAATACTACTACAGAAACTTCAAGTCTCTAGCTTGAAGCCCTATGTTCCACTGGGAACGTGAACGATTAAAAATAATATGGAATGACATTCTACCATAATGTTCAAGTTTTACACTTACATCAGGTGAAAGAGACCTTTTGGGTATAATTAAACAAGGAGCAATGGGAGGAAAAGGAGAAAGGAAGCATTTCAAGAGGAGGATAAAGAGAATGAAAAGAACCAGAAAAGAACAAGATGGAAATTCAACAACATCAACAACAACAATCATAACCACTAAAACTTACACCACTCATTACTGCTATTCTGTCTTTTCATGGTGAAATCATTCGCATTCTGTGATAATCTATCAAGACGACTTGCCGGTGTTGTTGTTGCTGTTGTTGATCTGTTTACATCTGTCCTATGACCAGATTTAATTGTTGATGAAATTGACTGTTTTTGTGTGACTTCAAAATCACCATCCTCATCATCATCAACAACAATATCATCTAGCTGACGATGACGGTGATGATGATGGTAGTGGTCACTGAAATTGTTTTGAGATGAAGGAATATTAGATGTTGTTTTTAATGACAATGATGAAATAGAAGAGGATGGAATATGCGAAACACGTGAATAATGATAATTATTATCATATACTGAGGAGGATGTATTACAATTGTATAATCGATTAGATGATGATTGTATAGTGGAATAAGAAGAAACAGCAGGATTTGATTTAAATGAAGATGTAGTATTATTATTGATGAACATACCAGTTGTTGAAGGATGAATAGATTTCATTGGATAATTGTTACTATCAAAGGCATGATTAGATAGAATAACCGGTGATTGGATTGACTTTCGACGAATAATATCCTCATTGGATGGAATCGATAAATACCCGTCGGTATCACTATTCTCTTCTGTATTCTCAGGTAAATTAACATTTTGATTAGATTGTATACTGGTTAGAAGACGTTTAACACTACGATAACGATCATACAATGGTCGCATTGTAATACGATCTTCACGTTCTTTTGGTCGACCATGAAGATTTTCAAAGTATAATAACGCTTTCTGTAAGGCTAATTTTTCAGCTTCAATCTAGAAGTAGTAGAGTAATAGTGAGTAGATAATGCAAAAATAAATTAATTAATTAATTTTAATGACAAACATCACTATCACTCGAATTAAGACTCTAGGTGACAGAGAGGAAACATGCTATTAGGACAAATACATTGGTCATGGGAAATAACTACAAAAAGCCTTTTAGTTTATGAGGTTTTGTAGGGATTATGATTCATTTCGATGTAGATTTCGTCTTAAAGTGATATCAGTAGAAGGATTATTGGAAACCAAGGGGTATTGGATAGCTACCTCGTCCTAGTTTCGAACTCTTCGTCAGTTCCCACCCACTACCTAACTAGAGATCGAATCTGGGATATCCAAGTTATAAGGAAACGTAACTAGTGGAGTCCGCCATACGGGAAGGTGCAGTGGATGCCCATCAATACCATTGGTCGATGACAGCACTACGTCGCGAATGACCACAGTTAGAATTCATTCACAGGTCACTGAATCCAACCCAAAATGGCTGAATGGTCAACCAGTAAGCCTCGTAAGACGGATGCCTCGGGTCCGATTCTGGTGGCTTCACGAGCGGTGCACGCTGCTGAATAGTCCGACACTACGACGAAACAGTTACCCAGTACTCTCTGGTTCTCAGTAATTCTCAAATTAATGCTGGTTCATAGCATAATCTCTACAGTGAGATATAAAAATCCCTATGATTTCTGGTCATTCCCCATCAACCTGTTAGAATAAATCTTGCCTTCTCACTCTGTCCATTACCGTCACCACCTAAATATATGAAATTAGTATTCAAACAGTCATTTGTTTACTATAATATGTTAAGGCACTGTGACCGAATGACAACAGTCTTCCTAATCCTCCAACAGTCAGTTGAGAATTTTAAATCAAGTATTGTCCAGTCACTGCAATTAATGATGCAGTAATTGATTCCAGTGACCATTTGGTATTCAAAACACAGATTAAAGATGTTTTAAGAGTCAATCAACTGATATATTATGAGCTTGAAGACCATCATGCATACTGAGACCTGGATAGCCATTCCAATAATATACCCTGACTCATCTGCTTAATGCATAAATAAATCTAATCATAGTTTCTACATTTATTTCAAAACCACTCGCCATCTATTTATATTGTTTTATCTCAGAAAAACACAGTAGGTAGATCAGACGATGATATCTGGAAACTAAACAATTCATTGACTGACCACACCTCGTATAAATAATACAAAATGAGTAGGAGCAGTGTAGATCCTCGTGTAAAGCTGGATTTATTTCCCAGAGAGAAGGTACAGATGTACTGACTTCTCGAACAAACGCAGTTAACACCACCATTCGGTAGGGTTCAACTTAAACTGCTTACTACTAATAAAGAAAAAGTTTATCCATAGAGAAATAAACTCTAACAGACTAAACTTTTCACTGCTGTAGGAAAAAAGAATGTCTAAAAAGAAAACTGTACAGTATTAGGCGTTTACACATAATGGTTTTTCAATTGACAAGATTTTCACATGCATGAAGCTTATTCGTCTTTCACTTTATATACACAAATTGACAAACAGGAATTAGTTAAGCAGATTTAACTATATAGCATCTCAGTTCCCCCATACGGATCAGAAACTTGGCGGGCGGGTCACAAAGAAGATTTCCAACAGCCTGTTGCAGACCAGACCTTTATCAACAACTGTCTTCGCTTTATACTGAAGATCAGATGGCCGGGCCGGAAAGAATCACCAACAAGAAACTATGGCAGGGAACAAACAAAACAAGAACCAATCGCCCAACAAATATGCAGGAGAAAGTGGAGATGGATTGGACACTCGCTGAGAAGGCCACTGGGTGACATCGCGCTCCAGGCCATTGCTTGAGTGGAACCGACAGGGAAGCGGCGAGTGCGACGTCCAATGGTGACATGGAGGTCGTGTGAAGAGGAGTTGAAACAGTATGGACTAACATGGATACAGGTGAAAAGTATAGCAGAAGATAGAAGTGGCAAGTGAAGACGTGCAGTTAAAGCCCTATGTTCCACTAGGAACCCAAGGGAATAATAATAATGATAATAATCTGTCTCATGGAAGCAGTCTAGACGTTCACATCATGCACAGACAACACACTGTAATATATATATATATATATATATATATATATATATATATATATATATATAGTTTGGCAAGACGCACATATTGCAATTCCTAATGTCGATGTCTTAAAAGAAATCCTAAAATAGCCTTCCTTCTTTTCCGGAATAATTAATGGCCAGTTAATTATGCCCGGTTAAAGAATGCGTCCACTGGAAATCGAATCCTGACCTCTAGCGTAGGCTGTCAAACATTGTATCAATTAAACCACCGATGCAGGGAGCATGCCAAGCAAAACGTTAGTGACAATAATTAACCTTGACCTTACAAGGCATTATACTGAGAAATGTTACTACAGGAACTTAGACAAAAATAACAAATAATAATAATTAAAATGACTTACTTGTTTAGGATTCATAAGATGAAGCGATTCAGGACGATTTGCAATAGCCCGTTTCTCTGCTAACCGATTTGAAAGGAGTAGGAAAGTACTTTCAACAGTTGGTTTACCAGAAGTATTCGACTCTATATGACCGGCTGCTGGATTTCCACTGTCAGCTGCTGCATTCAATTCCATTGATGGTTTAGAAGGGATATAACCACTTGGGGAACGAAGTTCTATAATTGTTTAAGAAAAAGTAAATATACAGACATTTATGGATAACAACGCTTGCTTGGTATAAGAAAATTTGCAATAATTTAATATTCAATGACATGATAGCGGAATTATAAGTGATGGAAACAAGTGATTCCCAGAAGGAATGCACACTATCCACATTTTTATTGAATTTTATCATAGATATATTCAATGAAATGAAAGTCACACTAACTGACTTTGATGACTTAGAGATTGACTTATTGACAGGGAAAAGTCTTATCAAGTGAAGACACTGACTAAATATAATCTTTCGAACACTCTGCGTGTGCGAATCACTTTCATAAAAAGCAAGATGATGGATGCTACAGGACTGAACTGCACCAACTGATTAATAAGGAAATCTAAGTACAGTAAAAAGCAGCTCATGGAACATTGATCAACCTTACTCATCTTTGGTGTAGAAATGAGATATCGAGCTATCGATCAAATGAACTTGTCAAAAACATGCTGCATACATTTGGTTCCCTTGATAAATTTCGATAGAGAAAGAAAAACCAGATTTGCAGTATAAAATGATATCATTCTATTTCACAGGTTCTATTCAGCTAACTGCAGTCTACCTGAATTTACAATGGTTATGAATAATGACATTTCATACTTCATTCTTTGGTTGGTGATAGAGAAAACATTATAAGGTGAACGCATCATCAATCTATATACTATCAAACTATGAAAAAAGAAGGAAAAAGCGGGGAGGTGACAGAAGACAGAAAACGGTAAAAATCTAATAAACAGTGTCAACATGGCAACTCAACAAGGTCAAAGTTCATCAATTTGAGAACTTGATTTGTGAGTTAAGCCCACTAGTGTGCATGACTAATCAGTGTAATGAAAGTGATATGGTTACCAAGGGAGTGAGAGATTGAATACACTCTCTTTCTGTATGCATAAGTTTGGTCTGTGACGTTTGATTGCGATTGTTTCAGCAAATCGTAGTAGATTCGCTGTCCTTTGTATGTTTAATATTTTGAAGGATTTAGAAATCTCGACAAAATGATCCGTATCCACAAGGTGTCTGGTAATTCCACTTTGTAAATATCTGCTTCCTTCTAAGCATAATTTTCTCGGAATATGTTCTGAAAACCACATAGAAGACCTTCTTTCTGTCCTTCCAGTGTACTTGCTGCCGCAGGTACACGTAAATTTATAAATGCAGTTGGAGGTAACATCAGCAGGGTACTTACCCAGTTTCGATTGGCTTATAGAGCATGTAGTACTGTATAGTGTCACCAGATTGGTTGCAGGGAAGCATCTCTTTTCAGTCTTTTGCGATACTGTTTCTCCTTTGTATGGGAAGCAAATGAACACTTTCTTCTTTTCAACTGTTAGGTACTTCTCTTTCTCATCTCTTTCTTTGCTATACTTTAAGATAAATCCTTTTCGATACCCATTTTCCTTAAGGCATTTTTCAACAAAGCTTATTTCTTCTTCTACCTAGTTAGGCGAACATAATCTCCTGACCCTGTCGTACAGTGTCCTCCCTAATCCCCGCTTATAGCTTATAGGGCAGAAGTTGTTATAGTGAAGGTATTGTCGGGTCCAAGTTTCTTTTCTGAAGACAGACTTTTCGACTGTTCCATCGTTTCTTCTTCTTTTTACATGAGGTCCACCTAAACATTAAATTCACCATGGAATACGAACACAACGATGAGTTCAATTTCCTGGACCTTATAATGTTTTCTCTATCACCTTCCAAACAATGAAGTATGTTATTGTTATTATTTATAACCATTGTAAATTCAGGTAGTTTGCAGTTAGCTGAATAGAACCTGTGAAATAGAATGATATCATTCTATACTGCAAATCTAGCCTTTCTTTCTCTATCGAGAAACATGTTTTTTGAAAGCGGAAAATATGAAGAGACTAGCCATCTCTGACCATAAAATTTTTGTTGTTCTGTCTTTGGAGTAAGTGGTATAGTATGGTGAGGAGAACTGAGGTTAGATGTCGAGCACTAGATAAGGAAGGTAAGTAAAACAAGGAGGTAGGCAGGTTGTGAAGCTACACTTAGGTTTCCATTTGCCTATTTGCCTATTATAACTATCACAAGTTGCAAACTACTGATATCAACTAGAAAGTAGTATATATGAAAACATGAAAAAATACTTACCTCTCATGTAATCTTTTACTTCATCATGTGTTTTATAAATTGACTGTTTACTAGGAGAATGATTTAAAGAATACACTGAAGATGTCATCTTTGTGTTGGTAATTCCATTGTAAGCTGTACATTCAGTTGGATTATTAGTTGTCACAGATGGATTACTTTTACTGGTAATTTGATCAGACGATTTATCTGACGACTTGATATACTTCATTGCTGCATGAACTTCAGATATTTGACACATTATATCATTAATCTAAGTAAACAAAAAAGAAACAAACAAATAGATTCGATCAAAGCAGTTATGTTTGTTCATTTCTTTACTGATATATGACAAAGCGTTTAATGATAAACAATTCTGACTACTCATCATCAGTGACGTGAAGCAGTAGTAGTGTGGTGGGAGTTGGCTATTAGTCAAAATTGGTGGACGGTAATTTACGTCAATGTTTAATTCCCAATATTGATCGTGAGAAAAGTGAGAACAAAGGCTTTTCGTAGGCGGATACAGTTAACACGTAGATGATCTGACATTCAAGAAACAGTCACAAAGAGATGCAAGGTGAACTTTTTGTGAGAAACAACCAATCAGAAGATTGTGTTTTTCTGCTAACAATAATCTATAATATGTACATGAAAATATATAAATACGTGTTGATTTCTTTGGTAAACGATCTGTTGCCCGGTCCTTGTCTTCTGTTGTTGCAGTAGTAGTAGTATTAGACAAAACAGAAGAAAGTTATTCTACCACTTATGAAAAACAGAACTATAACGAGAGATAAAATTGCTACTGTAGGGAATTTTAAGATGAACACTGATGAAGCATTCTACATAATAACAACACTAAAGTCAAGTCGGTCCTTCTATACGAGTCAGGAACTTTCACTGCGTGTTACGAAAAGCATTTCCAACAGGTTGCAGACTTTCATCAACAACTACCTTCGCTTCATACTGAAGATCAAATGGCCAGAAAGAATTAGCAATAAGAAACTCTGGCTGACTACAAACAAACCAAGAGCCAATCGCTCAACAAATAAATATGAGTTGATCACGGATCTGATATCAATCCGTGGTGGAGTGTGTTGTAGGCGCGAAGAGCAGCTAGCTGTATGGAATAGAGATAAACAAAGTTGGTGTTTGTCGATCGAATACTGCGATGCACAACATCATCTATTTAATTTTCAGAATGTGGTTGTGTAACAACAGAAGATAAGGGCCAGGCAACAGATCGTTTATTTTCTATAGTTTGGTTTGTAAGGGTTTGTTATGTTTTTACGAGTTGATCACGGACTGATATCAGTTAGAGAACCATTGAAAACCAGGGAGTACTGGACAGTCAACTGTTTCATCCTAATTTGGGAATCACCGACAGTACACGCCCACCATCAGGGTTCGAACCGAGGACCTCCTGGTTGCAAGGCAAGCTCATATACCACTCAGCCACTGGGACCCGATTCAATGGCCAGCACATGAATTCTGACTTCTACCAATTCCTGATTTAGCGAGAGCACCAACCAATGTAATTGGTGGGACATTCATCCTCACACTTGACTGGATGGACCTCACTGGTCCCGATTTCTCACTAGAACCCTAGGAAACCCCATCCTGTAGCAAGTGACTAGCGGGCATCAGACTAATTTTCAAGAGTTGGTCTCTGGTTTTCAATGGTTTTCTCAGCTGATATCAATCCCTGATCAACTCGTAAAAAACCAAATCTAATTCTTACAAACCAACTATTGAAATATGTAGGAGGAAGTGCAGTTGGATCGGCCAGACATTAAGGAAACCGTCGAATGACATTGCGCACAATACAGACCATCGCTTGATTGGAATCTGGATGGGAAGCGACGAGTGGGGAGTCGGTGCGATGGTGACATGGAAGAGATCTTGTGGCGAGGAAGAGATGAGAGATTATGGGCGATCGTGGACCCAGATGAATAGGAGATGGCAGAAAATAGAACAAAGTCCAGATGTGTTGTTGAAGCCCTATGTTCCACTCCGAAACAAGAACAATAATAACAACATAATAACAAAGCATTTGTCTTTCTCAGCTAGCAATAGTTATCTGACTAACTAATGCTGGTCAGCGACCAAATCCATCTTCAAAACTATAATAATTAAATACATTTCAAACACTACAAATAAATATCCATTCACTAGAACCAAAAAAGTAGTTCTAATATCCGAAAAAGACAGTAAACTGTCTATTAGTTGACTGAATGTAAGAAAAAAGTGGTTTCTTCGACAGCTGGATAACTCGTTAAAATTATGAATTACTATTTGTATTCATGTTCTCTCAGATTTCGAATGGAACATAGAGCTAAAGCAGCACATTTCTGTTTCATCCTGTTCTTCGTAGTCTGTTTCAACGAACTACACAGTCGCGCCAATAAGCTTTTATTTCCTATTCACACGACTACCTCCACGTTTCCCTCGCATCCATGACCAACTCATCGGTCTGACGCTATATAAGTAAAGGGCAATCCACATAAAAAACTTTAGGCATATCCCTTCTCATAAAATAAAGAAAAATCAATCAAAGTTTCCTATACCAAACAATAAAAAAGAGAGGGAAAACGGAACACCTACCCTTGGATCAGAATATTTATCCGGATTGGTTGGTTTACGTCCATAATCTTGTTCAAATCGCTTTTCAAATTCGCGTACACGTGATTTTAGTATATATAAATGCTGGGTTAACTTTTGATGAATTTGATCACTGGATTCATTGGCAAAGTCAATTCCTGATAGTACTTTAGCGTGTTTAAATTCAAAACTCGGTGAATCGCCTTCATCCTAAAATTTCAAACATTGTTATAAAAGTTTAAATGTTGAGTGAACGATAATAGTGTTCGATTATTGTACTCCTAATAGAGCTACTGCTACCTTTTTGCAACCATTGGGATAGTGTCCTCAAACACTTTTGGATAGGATACGCATCTAACGACCAATATACCTGGCTCCACAACAACAGATATACTGATATATGCACACAGAAGTGGTCAGACACAAGATTGTGTCTTTAAGACTTCTACAGACCGATGGACGGTTAGAGAACACCACTGTTAGCATTACTGTGAAGAATGTTCTTCTCTTCTTCCTTAAGATCCAGGTTCATGTACAGTTTCGCTTTTTAAAACAAGTATCCTGTCCATAGGGGGTTCGAAAACACTATCCTGCATGGAGGCAAAAAGATAGTAATGAATCTCATAACGAGTGCGACAATCAAAAACCTTGTCAACAATAATCATTCCATCTCAACAATAATAAAGATCTGTTAATTTTCAATAGCATTGGAAAGAAGGTTACTAAACAGTATATACTGCAATACAATAACAAATACACATTCGAACTTATGTAGTGGATAAAATGAATAATTAGCCAATCGACCTTGATGTCAGCATACTGAAACCTACACATCAGAGAAAGCGTAAGTTGCCTACGGAGGTGCTGCAGTCATGTAGGATACCACTTACAATTTCTTTGATTGGTACATTCCTATTCGCTGCCATCAACTGAATATGGTCTGCACCCTCTGTCAAGTTATGGGTTCGATCCCCGCCGGCGTCACGAGTGCATGTTACTCAAGAGTTCTCACAACTGGAAGAAAATAGCTATCCAGAACCTCATGGCTTTCAATAGTTCTCTAAACATCGAATGACCTTGGCGGCCTGTTTGAATATTTTTGGGCTACCACATTCCATGTACATTTTGCATCTATTTACTCGTATTTTATTGGTATTTACATATCACATTATGCATTCTAATCGTATTATCTACCCTCGGGATTTTATAAAACGTTTTAAACCCAAAAACTTTCATATTTGCAATAAACTCAAGAAAAAGCACCATGGAGGTTGGCAGCGTGCCTTAAAATCTACACCCATACATCACACCACTGTTCCAGTTATCATTAGTACCAACTGCCGGTCCCTGCCTAATAAAATTCTGGATTTTCAGTCTCTGTTGTCTTCTAGTACCTACCACAATACTGGTATTGTCACTCTGCAAGAAACCTGGCTCCATGACTCATACGATGACAATATTGTGTCTCTAAACAATTTCAATGTTTTTCGACAAGACCGTATTTGTTCCAAGAAAAAGTGTGGTGGAGGTGTTGCAACTTTTATTCACTCAAAATGGTCCATTTCAAACAAAGTTTGTTTCAAATTCTCGAATGACTTCATTGATTGCATCACTGTGAGATGTCGCCCGAAACACATTTCAAAATACAAATTCATTTATATTTCTAATGTTTATGTCTCTCCTGGCTGTACCATATTGGATTTATCTATGTTCGCCGATGAATTCACCGCTTTTGCTGCAGCTTGCTTCGAGAACTCTTTATCAATAGTAACTGGCGACTTCAATGGAAGCGATTGCTCCTTCCTTATATCACTTGGTCATGACAATATTGTCAACTTTGCCACCCGTCTTGGTAAAAAACTGGACCTAGTATTTATCAATGATGTTGGTATATATGAAGCTCGCAAACGTGCTCCTCTACTTAATTCTGACCACTGCATCATACGTGTGCTGCCTAAAATATATTCCAAATCACACAAAGGTGTCCTCTCTCACCTCTACAGTAAAGTTCAACGGAGATGCTACTCAAAAGACAACCTAGACAAGCTCAGATGCATGTTGAAAGACACTAACTGGGACTTATTTACAGAACAAACATTAGATGAAACAATCACAAACACTACCGATTATCTTAAATTCTGTTTCGAAATATGTTGTCCTAAAGAAACATTATTCATCCGATTTGATCGCTTATCTTCGCCATATCTCAAAAAGCTACGTAGAAATAAAGAACTGTTGTTCAAAACTAATGATAAGCCTGGTGTAAAAAAGTTAAACATGCTGATAAAACTGGAAATAAAAAGACTAAGTGTTTTATATAATCAAAGATTTTTGTCATGTAAAACCCCTTCTAATTTATGGAAACTTTTCAAAGAAATTACTAACGGTAAGCGATGTATTTCTGTTCCATCTCTTAATGTTGACACTCTTAATAAATCTTTCATACGCTCTTCTGTTGATACCCTTCCAAATGATACAAATCATATTGACAATAACTTTAGTGGTTTTAATACCCTTGATGTGCTTAAATGTCTCCGGTCTCTTAAGCCTTCTCAAAGCCTTGGTCCTGACGGCATACCTGCCATTGTCCTCAGGAATTGTGCTGATATTTTGTGTTATCCTCTTACTAACATTTTTAATGCCTCTTTTTCCGGTAACGTTCTACCTTTTGCATGGAAAAACATTAAAATTATCCCTATACCAAAACCATCTTCTGGTTCTGATATTAAATTTCGGCCTATTGCAATTACTTCCCCCTTTTTAAAATTGATGGAAAAATTACTTTTACTTCGTCTTGAACCCGCTTTGAAACCTTTTAATGATCCTAAACAATTTGCATACAAACATGGTAGAAGTACCTTGGATGCTGCGGTTGTCTTATATCACAATGTTGTCTCTTGTTTAGACAAAGGTGCTAAATATGTTCGTAGTGCTTTCTTAGACTACACATCTGCTTTTGACTCTGTACCTAGGGGCCTTTTATTAAATAAGCTATCGTTGACACAAACAGGATCCTGGGCTAAGAGTTGGTTGCATTCCTATTTTTCTGATAGAATGCAGTATACTGTATATAACGGCAAATCTTCTTCTACCTCGCTTACAAAATCCGGTGTTCCACAAGGTGCTGTCCTCTCTCCTTTTCTTTTTTCTTTCTTCCTACATGACCTGCCTCATTCAAACGAAACTAACTTTGTCAAATATGCAGATGATCTGACTGTATCACTGCCTATCACTTCCGAGTCTGACAGCTCCAAACTTAATAGCTTTCTGTTGGACATCAACAACTGGTCCAAGTCAAATGGTCTTATATTAAATCCTTCCAAATGTCAGGTGCTTGACTTTACTTTCAAGCATCGACGTGACTTACTTGAACTAGTTAACTCTCATGATCCCTGTAGCATAGATGGCACGGAAATTGAAACCAAATCAAGTATTAAATACCTTGGACTAGTTTTTTCCTCTGACCTTTCATGGTCATCCCATATCTTATCTATCTCTAAGAAAATGTTTCGTCTTACCTTCTACATTAAAAAGTTAAGACAATCAGGTATCAACCAACCTTTAGTTTTGCAATTTTTAAACTCCTGTATTTTACCTATTGTACTCTACTGCTCTCCATTAATCTTTCCTGGGCTTCTCAAAAAAGATTATATCATATTACGAAGAGTATTAAATGCTGTGAGTAGAGCTTGTGGTCTGCCACTGCATGAGCTCGCTAATACTATAGTCGAGAGGCATATAAATTCCTGTACGAAATGGGCAAAGGCTATAATGTCAGACCCTCTGCACCCCCTTTATTCACACCTGTCCCCTTGTATCTCATCAGGTAGGACGAGAAGTCAATATAAAAAGATATATGCTCGTACTACTAAGTATAGAAATTCTACAATACCCTATTTAGCGCGTACTTTATGTGACGAAGACTCTGTTAGACGTGAAACTTACAAGTTACTATGTAATTAGCACAGTGAATCGACCCTTTTATCGTTCATCTTTCTGTATTTTATGGTGTTACACTTTCTATCGTTTAAATCGTTACTCTGCTATTTTATATTAGTTGGTATTACTATTATTACTACAATTTTGTACTTTATACATATTTTTCTCCGTATGGCACACAGTATTTTGCTACGTAGCTGCTACAACAATCGTTTTATTACTATTATGTATTGTGTATTTTTAATTTTTTTTGTCGTTTTTGGGTAAATTAGATGCAATATTGTACTGAATGCTGAAAATTCCTTGCTGTATCATGAGTACTGTTTTTGGAATAAAGCAATTATTATTATTATTATTATTAAAAAATGACGTCATTTCGCGATCAAACCTCTGAAATCAGTCAAATCCCTACTAACCAACCAGTTGAAAGCGATTATTATCATAAATATCAGTGCCAACAAAATTTGAATATCCTTCTTGACTATAAAAGTCGAATCTTTCCCCTTCTATTGTCTTTAAACCTAAAAGTAAGATTTCTTCTAAAAGAAAATAAAAGAACTTGAGAGGTGCATTCGCGATAACATTTTTATCCAGCGGAATGATGCCGAATGAGTATTTCCCGCCTCCAACAACCCCTCCAAAAAATAGGTAAAAATAAACGGAAAACTTAGAAGAGACTGAAGAAAAAGCAACCTAGGGTGAGAATTAAGTGTATTTTGCACTGCTTTTCTTTTTCTCTCTAGACGTCAAATCAATAACTTTCACCTCTTCAAAAAGAAGACTTTCATTTCCGTTTCATAAACTCTAAACCAGAAAAAAGAGCCTGGAAATGAGTATAAAAGATAATAAAAGCTGGAAAAGTTGGCTTATGGAAGTTAATCTCTATAAACTAAGTATAAATCTGTACTTCTATTTATTTTTATCGCTTGGATACCAAGAGTGGAATACACGGCATCAGCATTTGTATTGCTTTTTATACGATGGGATTGCTAGCCTCAAGTCCAACCTTGCCTTTTTTTTCTTGCTTAATAACAGCGTGTGTCAGCAGTTCGGCGGTTAGACGCTCGTCAATCATGCACGTGGTGTGGTCCCGGCTAGCGAGTACTTTTACCTGCCTCAGCTGGTTGAAAGCCCGATGAACAAGAAACGTTGGAGAAGAATCTAGCGAACACAAACCCGTAAAATCACTACTGCTAATGAAACTTCAAATCTGAAGCTTGAAGCCCTACGTTCCACTGGGAACACAAAGGAATGGAAGGAAAAATTAGCTAGTAAACTGGACGAGGTTTAGGATTGAGTGTAGGTCGGGAATCAAACCTGAGCACCATTTGTGTGGCAGAATCGTCGGAGAGCACATTTTTAATGAAATTAAACCCATCAATAGGTTAATCTGTTACAGTTGATTGATTAGTTATTTCAAGTTTCCAGTTTGTTAGACAACTATTCACGTAAAAATGTGATAGAGGTTATAGAGGCATTCAAAAGACGTATTTAACTGCTAGAAATGCTTGTGGAAGTAGGATTAAACTTAAGTCGAAGATAATGGGCAAGGTTAAAGAGACTCATGAAAAGCAGTCATTTCCGATCGAAAAATCAAGCATAGTACCATGATAAATGATACTGCTGTTCAGTTTCGAAAATTTCAAAGTTTTAAAGCAATCTCTCATTTTTAGTTGCGTAGTTGCATAAACAGCAGACAATGTAATAGCAGCACCATATACATTTATAAGGAGACGATTTAACATGTCTAGGTGGAAAACACATCCTGAAAATAAGATGAAAGCATTCTCTACCATATATATCTAAGTGTCGGAATATGAATAGTGTACAGAAACAAAGAAGGCAAGAGGAAAATACTACCACACCCATAGAGATTAACCCAACAAAAGTGTGAACAGACAAGCAGATACTACTTTTAAATGTAGTGGCATGACCTCGGTAAAAAAAGTGTATTACAAAACATATTATCAGGAGAGGAAAAATATAATTCAGTCCATACACAATGAAATGAAGTTGCAAGAAGTTGGGAAAAATAACCCGATATTCTTTTTTGACTTTTTTCGATTTACAGCTTGATTCCACACTGTATTTCCGGTACAGGTATGGAATTTTCAGAATGGATATCGGTAGCCCAAATTTTGCAGGCCGACCATAGATATCAGGTGTGCGTCGGCGGGGGTTCGAACCTCGGACCATGTGTATGGTCGGCGAGAGTCCTAACCACTGTGCCACCGATGCGATAATAACACAACTGTTGGAATACTAAAAAGCTTGATGGGACAGAGAATTATTTCTTTTTTATTCCTTTACTTTCCTAGTGGAATATAGGGCTTCAAGATGGAGACTTGAAGTTTCGGTAGCAGTGGTGTTTATTATTTTCACGGGATGGGGTTGCTACTGGCCTCATGCCCAACCTTCCTTCATTACCAGTCTTATTACTGGCTTAGCGAGGTAAAGGAGGGCATCGGCCGGAGATCGAACAGCGCATCACATGCATGGTCGATGAGCATTCTATAACTAACAGTCAAAAAAATTGAGCAAAATGTATCCTTTTCAATAATTTCATCTTCTGGCTCCATAATTATATACATATATGCTGATATAAACAGAATATTCTAGCATCGTCGTCATTAACAATATTGGTGTTTTTAAACACTATCGATTTGTTAAGCAAGGTCAGTGAAATCACGGTTAAATAAAGACGCCTTAGTTACAATAAGCATAAAAATGCAAAAGCAAAGAAAATATCAAATAAAATTAGGGAAATCTCAACAACAAATTGAGGACCATTAAAACTTTGATGGCCAAGGTGAGGACAGTGTCTCAAACAACTTCTTTTGGTTACATAAATTCAGTTTCTTAATGTAGATCCCAATAGATTCAAGAATATATAGTAAACGAACTCTTAAAGTACAGATTAGTTGGCATGCGGTAGATGAGTAATATTCAGTTATGACCGACTGACGCGTTTCAGCTTTGCACAGAAGTGCAGCAGTCCTAGTTGGGGAAAAGTTCAACAATAGCGTCCCAAGGAATGCGAACGTACGAGTGACCCTCAGCGGATCGATCATAAAAATAAGTGACTTTTGCACAAAAAATGACCTATATTTACAAGAAAATGGATGAAAACACATTGAACAGAGTATCTTTCTCTGACATGAGTTAAAAATACGTCCCGGTTGTAATGAGGAGTATCATTTGCTATGTTAGACTAGTTTCTGTACATATATTCACCAAGGTGACTATAGATGAGCTGCTATTGTGAATTGTTTATCTGTCTTTTCCTGTTGTGCAGTGTTCCCCAAAAGCCCTCGGTTAAATTACTATGGTTTCCAGCAAGAGGATCGACTACTACTAACCAGGAAAATGTTGATAAGAAAACAAATTAAAATAAATGATATCAATTATAAATCTATCCCTAATCGTAAGCCCTAACCTTAGTCCTGACCGTAACCCTAAACTTAACACTAACCCTAATCCGAATACTAACGAGCTATTAACACATTGTCGAAAAAGTACATAAAAACGTGAACTGGATGTATTTTACTCCTTCGTTAGTGAAGAGCGTTGATATTGCAGCTACAGCAATGACAGGTGCCGCGCTAGCCAACGACTAGCATGCGTTCAGGATCACTGGGGAGTTAGCACTCCTGGGACGCTATTATCGAACTTCGCCCAAGTTGGCACACTTTATGCAGCCACACATCGGTAGACAAAAGGGGGCAAGAAAAATTCAAAAGTAGAAAGCAGAAATATAATAACATAAAAAAGAAAAGGGTTTAATACATATAAGGTCACAGAGAAGGAACACATCTGCCCTATATCATTGAGAACGATTTTGAGTCATATCACCAATACATCTCCAGTCGCTGGTCCTTAGCATCTCAAGGACTACAACCAAGCTAAAACTAACAGTCTAAGACTCCATGGATTGATATTAGACTCTGCTTCCACCTCTCCTAACTATTTTACAATGTTAGCTAGTGTTGCTCGTCGAGGAAGGCGGTGGGCTCAGCATGCACAATACATGGGCTAACCATCTCAATCGATTAAGCTTCACAATCTTATCGATTGACTTCCCTTTCTTACCTAATAATCTACGCTTTAAGTCCATATTACTCACTATGTCATACCGTCCAAGTCGGAACTATGGGATCTTCATCATCATCATCCTCGTCTATCAACAGATCCAAAGGAGACCTTGTTCTTAAAACTGCAGTTGCTTGGTGATAACATCAATGAAACAATAATACAACACTTAAAAATTACAGTAAAAACAGAACATTCAATACAGCAACAGAAGTTCACTATCTCTTGACAACTAATCCAATTTTACCTTCCGAGATTAAGGACAAACTATTTAATTTCGCCTTTTCTATGAGTATTAAGCAATTTGCCAACTCCTGTGAAGCTAGTTACATTGGGTGTACGATCAGGCAAGTTCATCGTCAAATTTCTGAACACCTTCCATCTTGATTTCGGAAAGGTGTGAATAGAGGCATACATAGCTCACCATTACCACTACTACCTCATCTCATTCACACTGGACAAGTTGACACCAGAAAAAGTTTTTGAAGTTATTTACCGTATTTCACCCGACCTTTCGCACGCCCTATGAGTACTACTTTTACATACAACAGAGACAATCGAAATTCATCAGAACAAGCCAAATTTTTATATTCAAAAGAAATTTTTACAACTCTTTTTCTTTGACGTGGCCAACTAAATAAAATGTATTAAGTTTTACAAATGATTTCCCTCTCCCCACGATATTTTATTATGACTACAATTCCATCTAATTCCATTCACTTGTTTGTATCTTGGTATTATGAGGTAATTCTACTTAGTCACTCGATTTCTCCTTATAAAGAAGAGGTATGAGTGGTCACACGTAGAATTCTCAATGAGACTGGAATTAGTGAAGGTGGCACTTAAACCAACCACCACCAACCAACTAATTCTCTGAAAGATAAACTTTGTCGACTCAAGGACCCAATAGATCCAATTAAGGAAAATAATATAATTTATGAAATACCATGCAATTAATCACCGTGAGATCGATTACATAGGTCTGACTAGTAGATCGGGGTCAACGAGGTCATTTGAATATAAAAATTTAACTAGACCTACGCTGATGATTGACCCTGATAAGTTAAATAACCTGGAAAAAACAGAGTTCAGTCACTGTACTGAATGTAATCAAAAAATAGGGTGAGTCGGACAGGGTGAGAGTAGTAAAAAGTAATATAATTAGGTGGAGAAAGAGGTTAATCACTGAAGTTTAGTTTATCGATTCAACACCCCACACATTCAATCGGAATGCCGCAACGCCTATATCGGAGATGTGAAAAGTGGCAGCAAACAACAACAGGAAGTCGGATAGACAGAAAGGGAGAAAAATAGATCAGTTAGAGAACCACTGAAAACCAGGAAGTACTAGACAATTGTTTCATCCTAGTTTGGGAATCACCGGCAGTACGCACCCACCGCCAGGGGTCGAACCTAGGAGCTTCCGGTTACAAGGCGAGCTCGGTTGCCGTTCAGCCATTGGGACCCGATTCAATGGCCAATGCATGAATTCTAACTTCTACCGATTTGTGATTTACCGCGACCACCAACCAATGTCATCGAAGGGACATCCATGATCGACTCGTAAAAAAACTAATCCTTACAACTACAGAAAAATGTAAGAAAAACTGTGAAATCCTGTGACTAAGATTAATATGATTATGAATAGCAATAACTTATGCTTGAAACTTCATCCAGTTGTTAATACTGTATCGCTGTGTGATATTTAAAATAAACCTACACTATTTCTTCTTAGTCATCATTATTTTACATATTTCTTGATTACGTAATAGCTTGTTGCTAAACCCTTCGAATTATCTGATACTGAATTCCGTATCAGTTCATGTAACATATGACTCACTCCATTGGGATAAATAAATCTCAGTAGTTTCCTATCTATAATCTCATGACTCCCTACTAAAACTACATAACTAGGCAGATGACCAGTACCATACTACTATACATTTAAATCTATCGAAAAAATCACACTCACCAAAGCAATGAGGTATTCACAATAAAAACTTACTGTCAAATTTATTTTCTGCGATGTAATAATATCATCACAACTTTGTTTTAATGTATGATTGAAGCCAACTGGATAATTAATCGTGTCTAACTTTTCAGTGGTGTTGTACACTTTCCATTCAGGTAATCTTTCATGGAATAAATGCTCTTCAATACACGAACGAATGGCCATTTCAAGATAAGATGAAATTATATCACAGTTAGATGCTTTCGCTTTCAAGGGAATATCCTCTGGTGTATTTAATCCTTTTATTGATAATGTCATTGCTGCTGTTGTTGCAGATGTTGGTAGTGCTGTTGTTTTTGTCCCTGTTGTTGAAGTCATAATACCGCCACCACCAACTTGTGAACCAGAACAATAAGTACTTGTAACTCGATTCATTGATGGATATATTGTTGTTCCAGCCATAGTAGTTGAATGGGTGGTAAAACTTTCCGTTCGAACATCTTCATCGCCTTCATCATCGATATCATCATTGTAAGAGTTCATTTCGGACATATTATCAGGTGTTTCATTTCTATGAAAAGAAGAAAGTAGATAGTTACGGATCAATAAATTTAGTGTGAAAAGTGTTGTACAAGCTTTTTTGTTTTTGATTCCTTGATTTCCAAGAGGAACACAAGGCTTCACGCTTCGATGTCTCAGTAGGGCGGAGTTGGTAGCCCCGCCCCCAACCATTTCTCTTTTTGCGACCTCACCACTGGTCAGACACCGTTCAGGAGTGCGTCGGCCAGAAATCGAACCCTAGGCTATATGCATGATTGGTTGGCATTGTACCAGTGAACTACAAACTCACTGGCTCCAGACAGTGTCACTTAATCAAATGCGAACTTAGTACAATATAGACACCCAGATATGTGTTACACATAGACAATACAATACAATACACAAAAAAGAAATATATTTGAAGGAGAGTATCATGAGAACATGCAAGCATGGTAATCACGAACATTTAAAGTAGTCTTAATTGCTTCAAATTACGTTCAAAATGAGGGGAAAGGGAGAAATTGCAGCACATTTGCCATTGACTGTGGTTATCAGTCATCCGATAGGTAATGTGTATCCAGCCACTGATTTGTGCTATCTCTTGGGACCCAATCAGGAGGTCATGATGCACTGAAAGATGTTAATTCATCATCACACGGCGACAAGTTATGGGTTGACCAACTTACCGCTTTACCCCCCTCAGCCCCAGGGTTAGTAAACAGTGAACTGTAAGACTGGAAGTCTCTAAGAAAACATTCGTAGTACATATCCAAGCCAACAAAGCCAATATCCCAAGATGACGTCACTTATTGAAAGACAATCACAATAACATACGAACAGAAAAGTTCAGCAAAGAGTCTCTTTCCTGCAACTTCATTCGTTTAGCTGTACAATAGGGTTTATATATTATTTTGTGTGTGTATGTGTGTGTACATTTAGACTGTCAAACAAAAACAAAAACTAGTTAGAGTAATCGCTTACATCATGAAAGTGAATGAATAATCAAACTGTATCCACGGGATGAAGATTAATTGCGTAATATGAAAGATGTCCAGAAAAATAGGATGTTAACAAAAGACCGTGGAGACAAGTGTTTAAAACAAATTATGTAATAGGTTGAAAGAGTAAATAAAGGGTAGGCTCAGAAAAAAGATGTTACTAAAAAGTCATACAAAAATTTAAGCAAAAGCAGTAGGGCTTGGAATTATACTCAAAGTAAAAGGAGTGGGTAGAGAATTTTCTTCTGTGTACATAAATCAAGGTTTTCTATTCGGATAACTAAGGCCTCGACAGTGTAAAGTATACGGAAGCTTAGCGTTTTTGAGGAGGTTTCTTTCGACTTTGTAGATAACTTTGAATGGAATGCCCTAACATATTGAGTGACCAGTGCTGAATATATGTTCAATTATAGCACTCCTTATTGATCCACTGTTACCTTTTCGCAGCCAAGCGGGATAATGTTCTCTAATTCTTTTAGATACAACACGCATCGAACGACCTACATACCTTGCTCCACATAAGCAAATAAATTCGTAGACGTAAACAACGGGCTAGTGGTTGTGCTACATCGTGAATTGGCAGAAGTAAGAATTCATGGGCCACTGGATCGGGTCCCAGTGGCTCAATAGTCTACGAGCTCGATGGCCTTGTAACCAGAAGGTCCCGGGGTTCGAACCCCCATGGGTGCGTACTGCTGAAGAGTCCCAAACTAGGCTGACGAAACAGCTTTTCAGTACTCCCAGGTTTTCCAATGGTTCTCTAATTAATGTCAGCTCCTGTAATCAATCAACCGAATCCCTACAAACCAATACTTGAGTACACAATATCCCTAACTAAATTTTATTCTTGTTTGACAGTCCTAATGTACACACACGCACAAAATTATTTCACACAAATGCGCTTGCACAGTTGAGTGAATGAATTTGCCGAAAAGAGACTTTTCGCTGAACTTTTTGGTCGTATATTCATGTATGGATGAGTATTTTCCGGGGATCACAATAATGTCTAAGCACACAGACCTAACATTTATTCACTTAATAATGCAAACGGATGCCAGCAGTTCTACGGAGGCAAAAATTATCGGACAAATTCATTGCACATCCTCAACTCATAGACGTCAAATATCACAGCTGTGGAACAATACCGTGCATACCAACCCATTGTAAACGTGTGACATAAACCTGGTAGACAATTAAAGCATGGTCAGAATCCACAAGTGCTACAGAAGGATAGGCAGTCCTGTATGCATTTACGTTATCCGTAGATATTATCACTGTCATATCTTAGAGTTAAGGCAGTAGTGGTAGACAAAGGAGACGAAGTAGCACCATGAAAACAGTAATATGAGTTGTTTAATACTGGCTGCAGAAGAGGGCCCTATTATCTGACCTGCCACCATCTGGTCTTTATTAGGGACCTAAAAATCTCAACTTGGAGTCTAGAGGCCCGAACCGCTGTTCGTTTACATCCAGCATATCCTTGAGTCAGGATTCAGCAACTCTCCTAGGTGTATACTCCATGTCCAACTGTCTGGTGATAAGCGGTGAATATATATATATATATATATATATATATATATATGCCTGCTACTTTGGAAGAACCAATCTTCTGATAGAGATTTAAAACTAGCACTAACTAGTTTCGCGATAAGCATAAAATCTGGGTCAGGGATTTCTTGGCAGTTCTCATCAATCAGTTAACATTGTTCCACAGTTCACCGGGACTAACTTGACTGAAAGAAATCGATGAGCACTAAGGCCAGCGTGACATTAGCAACCAATCAATATATCACTAAAGTTGTCCTTCACGACGGCACTCAATAGATAGATGTTAGTTAGTTAGTTGTAATCACTAGACTACATTAAAGAAACCTCAGACTGTGGCTTTAATGATGTATGTATGTATATATTTATGCAAATGAAAATTAAGTTTGTTAAGGAAGACATGAAAGGCAACAAAAATTGTAAAAGAAGTGTAAAATCAGCAGACATCGTCTAGAAGATGAAAGAAACCGCCTTACGCAATTGCACTGGCATTTAAGGCTATGTATAAAATTGTGAACCGTCCTCTTCCTCCCAAGGAGGGTAAGAGCTTAACAATGAACACAGTATGTTGATATGTCGTCGTCTTTGGCTTCAGTGTTCGTTATACATACGGGGAGGTAATACAACACGAGGAATGAATCATGTAATCAATGAAATCACAGCTATACCACTTCACCCAGTAATGGAATAAATGCACTTTACATGTATATAATCATACATATTTATATATTTAGATGCATATTTTTGTGGCTTAACAACTGATCAAGCCTAAATACCATAAGATCACATGCCATGCTAACTAACCTACTTTAGTTAGCGCCTCAAGAAATGAATGGCGCGTCCGGTGAATGAATCGTTTTTTTTTTGTTTAAATTGATCAAAGGAATTACAAATATGCATGAAATTCAAATGTATAATTGTAATTGTAATTGAGGAGTATATCTAATCCGACTGAGTAAAATGAAAGCAGAGCACTTAGTTTACTGATGAAAAAGAAATACACGAAAACATGTGAGCATAATTTAACATCAAAAAATTATGTCGGCAGCTGAGGCATGGATACAACTATGCACTTGGAGAGTGCTATTGCTATTGTTAAACTCAAGTCTAAAGCCAACTAAAGTTTAATTAATACAGTAGACAACACTAGATGCATACACACATACATATATATGCGCACATTAGTGTAGTCACCATACCTACAATTCTCATTACAGCCACATATAACGTATATGCATAGAACGTGTAAGCTATAGTCATCGAATGATCAAACTACCAAATCTACTACTTCACTTATGTTGTCGGTAATATTCAAGCATCTAAGACTCTCATGTCATGTGTAATAAATCACTCGAAGAGAGCCAAAATGATATCCTAAATACACTCTGGGACTACCATTTCACTGATAAAGAAACAAGAAACCTCATGAGCTCGGCCCCATGTGAGTGAAACGGCCATTCGGTGTTTAGATCATTTAGATCTGGCTAGTAAGCATTATTGGTTGATATCACTGACATAAAACTACTGACTACTCATCTCGGCTAATCAGTAGCATACAGTTTCACGCCTACAGGGAATGATTCACCAGGTATTTCATGCATGTGTGCTATATCAATACATTAAACTGAATATCATCAAAGTAGATCAGATATAGACTAGAAACAGTGAGAAATCAACCAAACAACCAGCCAAAGTCTTATTTGTACGCCAGTAAATGTACGCGATACAAAAAAACCTAATGAGCTATGAATGAAAATGTTCACCACGTCGATTAACTCAAGTTCTCATAGGCACCATATGACTTTTTGACATTATGGAATAGGTAATAGCTCATCTCAAGGTGAAAACTCTTAGCTAACACTATTTTATTCATCTCACACGTATTTCTCTCTCTATCAGAATATTATATTTAATCCTGCTTTGAAATAAACCTTTGTTTGTTTACTATTATGGCTACTACTAATACTACAGCTGTACATGTAACCAAGATCGCACAAGTCAGCAGAGAAATGTCTTCCCACAACTTCACTTCAAAGCTTTTAGTTATCTAGTATTTATATTCAATAGCCATATGACAATAACACGTGTCAGGTGACCCACAACAGAAAACTCAACGAGGCGCTCAAAGTGAAGACAAGAGTAAGACAAGGCTGGCTACCTGTTATCACTAACGACGATACTTGTAATTGTAGTGGACTGGATTGTGTCAGACTGTGGGGAGCGCGAGGAGACGGGAATACGCTGGACCCCCGATAAGAAGATGCTAGAAAATCTAGATTTCGAAAATGGATGACTTATGTTTAATGTCACACAAACTCAAAGACTTGGAGACGCAAACCAACAAATTGGTCGTAGAAGCAGTCAGAGAAGACAGAACTTCAGGTGAACATAGAGAAGACACAGGTGATGAAGACAACCAACCAACAGCAACAAGAACGATCAGCACCAATCACCCTAAACCGGAAAAAAAAATTGAAAGAGGTCATTT